GAAGTTTGAGAAACAACTCGACACCTGTTGTTTCACTTCCTAGAGACAAAACATATACTAGTGTCTATGAGGAATATGTAATTAATATTAAATCTAATAAAGATGAAGACTATAGAATTCTAGCCTATAGATCATTTTATCGAATTTGGAAAGAAGTTGCACCTCATATTCGGTTCATGACTCAGGCATCTGATCTATGTAATAAATGTAAACAACTTCGTGCTAAAATTCGAGTTACTAATGATATTGAAAATAGGCAAAGGCTTCAAGCTAAATATAACCTTCATCATGCAGCTGCAATAGTTGAACGTCAGTATTATAACGAAAATATCAATATTAGTAAACAACCAATGTCTAATATTGTACATATTTGTTATAACTGGGCTCAAAATGTTCCAATTCCTCATTTACCACGGCAGCCTGGAGGGTTATTTTTTAGATCGTTATTCAATGTTCATGTTTTTGGAGTTGCTAACACTAGTTTAATGACACAAAGAAATTATTTAATTGGTGAACATCAATTGCCAATAAAAACACCTAAAGGCGCCAATACTACTCTCAGCCTAGTATATAATAGTTTACTTAACTGGAATCCGATGCAAACATATCTAAAAATTACATGTGATAACTGTGGGGGCCAGAATAAAAATAATCTTATTCTTTGGTTTTATTCATGGCTTATTATGATCAAATTCTTTGATGTAATCGAACTTAATTTTATGATTCCTGGTCATACCAAGTTCATTTGCGACTCATATTTTGGAATTATTAAATCCCAATATCATAAACATAATGTTATGAGCATGGACCATGTTGAAACAATCGTCAATTAATCAAAAAAGATGGGAGTAACATAGCAGTTAGATATGACAAAAATGATCAAATAGGATGGAATTATTATGATTTTGAAACTTTTCTCTCACCTTATTTTATTAAATATGATGGTATATGGGCATTTCGGCACTTTTATTTTTATCATGATAAACCTGAAAAGGTTTTTATGTCATTAGAGGCTAATGGTTTAAAAACTGAAGCTAAGATTCGAAATAATATTAACTTTGATCCATACAAACCTTTAAACATAATCCCCTTAAAACCTTTATCTTTAAAATGTCAAGCATATTTATTTAAAGAGGTTCGTTCATATATACACGACCCTTACAAAGATGAATTGTGTTTTGCTCCAAATGAGCATGATAGTAAAAAGCATAATTAAACTTAATATTCTTGTATAACAAACGATATGTATATGTATGTAGATCACCCCTTAAATAAAGATTTCATTGTTATACTAACCGTCAATCTAAATTTAGAATATAACGCCGGATTAAATAAAAAAACTGCGTACAAGATTGTACCAAATTATTATATACCAACAAGTATCCAAACTTTTACCACGAATTAAGCACAAACTTGGGAATATAATCCGCCAAAAATCTCAATTTCGGTTAAAACCTCTCTAAGCCCCGATTTGCTAGGCAACAACCCATATACTTTTTACGTACGTACGTACGTATATATTTGGAAGACCGCCATTATTCATAATTTCTTGTTATAATTTATCGTTTTATATTGACAATACGAAATGATCTTTAATTTCCATCCTGTTAGCTTGTACGTAACTTATGTTAAAATTTTTGGCTGGAACTAAGGGGAAGCCTTTCATTATTTTCGAAATGTTCGGTTCCCAGTTTACCTGATCCTGATTTAGGTTTAGCATCCGGAAATTGAACCAAAGTTAAGATATTGCAGATATTGAACCAAATTAAGATATTGTTAACTAACTTTTAGGAAAAAATATTTCTAATGAAAGACTAGTTTATCCGCTAGAAAATAAGAATTACCCTGTATCAACATCATAAATGTGTCATAAATAATGCATATAGGCTAATATTATTATCGTTATTAAAATTAGCTATTCTTTAGCAGTAAATTTAAACGGAATTTCATTCATGATATGAAATCCACCAAATACTGCATATTGCATTTTTGATAGGTAATTATATTCTAAATAATTTCTAATACTTTAATTTATTTTCGCGATTTTAATTACAATTTAAAGTAGGGCTATCGCTATAACTCACTTTTTTAAATGCTGCATATCCTGCGCAATGATTGAAAAAAAAAGATAAATGCTCACTAGTTATTAGAGGAAGCTTTTAATCGATCACGACAATATGGAATGTTACGTATTAAAACAGCCCATTTTTACAATTTTTTTTTATTAGATTTTTGAATAGATTTCTGTTCAATGAAAAAGTTTTCATAAGCAATAAGAGCTAATCTGTATAAATTATTAAAAAACTGGATTGTTGCATGGGAATTGGACATTGCATATTTACGTAACATTCGTGCGCATAACGGGTAAAGTTTTTCACGAAAAATGTATTCCGTGCCGAAATTTATCCGAATCTTGCAAAAACTTAACGTTAATTTTTATTTCCTTCAACAAAGACTCCATATAGCCGGTGTTCCAGCTGCTTTCATATTTTTTCAGTAACCAAATCTTGAGTTAGAAATTAGGGATGGAAAATGTTTTTTATTACGTAATTAAAACCGGGTGATGATTATGTTCTTAATATATTTAAAAACAAATTTAACTATTCGGACTTTTAATCATCACCGTTTTAAATCGGTGAAAAAGTGTTTAAAACTGCTTTCTTTTCATCCTTAGTCATAATCAATAAGATACTGACGTTGCTGATGTCAAAAACTTATCATTTTTCAAGTGCCTCAGAATTTATAGAAACAGCTATAATACAGATCTAACAATTTCATACGTATATAGCCCGATGATATCTTATATAACATGTTTGTAGCGTTTATTCCATACCGTATATCCTGTCGTATGATGACGGGCTCTAACACAGTTGTAGATCGTCATTTAAATCTTTACATGTAAACATGGCTGTTTTAATATGTACGATACGAACCGTCTCATATCTTTTGAATTTTTTTTTAAAAACAAATTTATCTATATTACGAATATATAGCACCATATAGTATACTTAATTATCCAAACTCTGACGCTGCTTATCGCTATATACCGACATATCCTTAAATAAAAAAAGGAAATTGTTCTTAGCAAAGTACCTACTTTACAGAAACTTAGCTAGTGTTTTTTTTTTTTTTATTGATTTATTATAATCTTAAAGATTATAATAAATTATTACAATTATATTTATAATAACCTTATAATACTCATAATAATCTATAATAACCTTAATACTCATAATAATCTATAATAATCTTATCATAATAATCTATAATAATCTTATAATCCGACAAATATTACGTTTCATAATTCCTGGGGACACTTGTAAAAAATTAGCCGAATGATTTTTCGGCCGATCCAGTTAAGTTATTATTTCGGGTATAATAGATTCAATAAAAATTGGTACGTACTGTACGTACGTAATCTATTGTGCAGAAATAATAACTTAACCGGATCCGCCGAAAAATCAATCGGTTAATTTTTACAGGTGTCCCAGGAATTATGAAAACAGCTGTATTAGTAAACGGATATCCGGATAAATTCAGATTGGATACTTCGGATAATAGATAACGGATTGGAACTCTAACGATTACCCAATGATTACTAACGTTAATATTAAGAGTTTCCTTTTTTAAATTATGACGACATTTCGATTTATAGTGTTAACATTAACATTTTGGGTGATTATTTTGAAAATGTTATTACGTCATAAAAATAATTTTTATATAAATTGCGAATCATAATTGTGCGAAAAAATAATACTTCCTACTCAAAAAACCTAAAAAAAAAAAAACAAAAAAATGCCTTCTAACAGTGGTATTATATTTAAAGCAATTCCTGATGGTTATCCAGTGATAGGCGAACATATGGAACTTGTCACTAGAGAAATTGATATCGAAAATTTTCCACTCGCCGACGGAGATATTCTTGTAAAAAATCAATATTTATCGTTGGACCCATATATGCGTGGCAAGATGAGAAAACCTGATACAAAATCTTACTCACCACCATTCGATCTTGATAAAGTTTTACAAGGACGTGGTATTGGTACTATTATTAAATCTAATAATGCGAATTATAAAGTTGGTGACATTTATGTTGGATTGATCGGTAATATGATTATATTATTATTACTATTCTCATTATTATTATTACTATTCTCATTATTATTATTACTACTCTATAAATATTCATTATTATTATTATTATTGTTTTAATAATAAAAATTGACCGTGGAAATTGGAAATATTGTCAATTAGGTTGGGAAGAATACTCACATATCCCGAAAGATGCTACATCAGGTATTGCAGAACTATCGGAAGCAATTTCAAAATCTAACGCTCCCAAAAGTTATTTTCTTGGATTACTTGGTATGCCCGGATTATCTGCCTATGTTGGTCTCAATAAAATTGGAAAACCGAAAAAAGGTGAAACTATTTTTATTTCAGTAAGCACAATTAAAATTATTTATTCTTTCTTTATATAGTACAATAATTATTCTTGAATATTCAGAAAAATTTTTTAATCTTGACAATTAGGCCGCATCAGGAGCAGTTGGACAAGTAGTAGGACAAATTGCAAAGATTAAAGGATTACGTGTAATTGGCTCCGCTGGTGATGATTCCAAAGTTAAATATCTTGAAGAATTAAATTTTGATGGTACATTTAACTATAAAACTTGTAATATTGATGAGGTAATTGGTAATTTGTTAAAATATTTATGATTTATAATTATATACATTTCTTAAGTTAATATCTAATTTTATCAATAGAAATTGAAAGAATTATGTCCAAATGGGATCGACATTTATTTTGATAATGTTGGGTAAATTTAGTTTTTCCATTATAATTATTTATGAGTTCGAAACTAATCAATTTCTCTCAAAAAATAGTGGTGAAACTCTTGATATAGTTCTCAATCGTCTAAACCTCAACGCTCGTGTAATAGCATGCGGAATGATTTCTCAATATAATACTAAGACACCTTACGGCGTTAAAAACTTAATGAACGTCGTTTCAAAACGCCTTTTAATTCAAGGATTTATTGTAGGTGATCATTACCAAGAAATTGATGCTTTCCAAAAAGATATGGATGAATGGTTAAAACAAGGTAAAATAAAGTATAAGGAAGATATAGTTGAAGGAATCCAAAATGCACCAGAAGCATTTTTAAATTTATTAACTGGTAAAAATTTTGGAAAAGCAATCATTAAGATTTGCTAGACTGTATAAGATAAATTAGAATTTTGCTAGATTTTTTTTTTGTTTAGAAATTCCATTTTTGTGATGAAATTGTTTTAAATTTAATGCACGGAAAAAAAAAACCTGCTTATGATACTTTAAAATTTATGTTTATTAAATGAGAATAAAAGATTTGTGATTCTTTTTTTGAGTTGAAGTAATCACTAACTATATAGAAAATCATTAATGAGGCTTTTACATAACGATACCCATTAAAGAATTATATTCAGTTTATTGGTTTAATTAGGGTTTACACTTGAAAATTGTTAACTTCTCGGGTTTATGTATTTACCGCATGCATAACTGTATGAGTCCGGCATACATGCGTTTAAAATATACTATATAAATTATAACAAATTATAATAAATTTAGAGTATTGCTATTTTCACCCCATTTTTGCTAATGCCACCTCCCAAAATTTAAAAAGTGCTCCGGAAGAGATATTTCTATTAAGAAAACCTACCTTTAGATCTTAATAAAAGTTGTTCATCAGGACTTTCCGGTTCTAATGGTAGTAAAATCATTAAAATCAGACGGGTAATTTTTTCTAAAAAGTGAATAAAAGTTAGCTAACTTGGGATATAAATATCTTAGAAACTAATGGTCCGAGTATAATGATTTTACTACCATTAGAACCGGAAAGGCCTGATGAACAACTTTTATTAAGATCAAAAGAAGGGTTTAC